TATAACAACTATTGAAAGCAATTCCTTCTTGAAAGAAAAATGCTACGTCATAATATGAACCAGGTCTTCGAGTGAGTAGATATTATCCTGTCTTCTTTGCAATGATTGGACCAAGTGTAAACTAAGATGATGCACCCAACTCCATTATTGAAGTTCTTGCACCTGTAACAGGTGCGCAATTTCTTGGGCTGGCTCCATACATACACAAGGAAAAAAAGAGCGAATGTTAATTCTTCTGATCAAATCACTTTTTTTCCACTGTTTTTGAGTGAAGCCCGGCATTGCCAGGTTGTTAGGGCGCTTGAATCGCAATCTGAGGTTCGCGGGTTCGAATCCACGTCCTACCAAACATGCTCGCCCTTTCAGCCGTGGGGGCGTTACAACGTCAATCCAACTATTCGTTGATAAAAGAGTAGCCCAAGAGTTGGTGGTAGGTGGTGTTGACTATCTGCCTTCCCTCTAGTTTTTCTCTGCTAAATTAGGGACGGCTAGGGCAGATAGCCCTCGTGTGGGTTTGCGCGAAATTCAAAACAAACCAAACTGTTCTTGAGTCCACCATTTCTTATCGTTCCAACTCTGTGTGCACAAACTCGCGTTTTTCGAAGTGATAAATCAGTGTCGTTGCTCTACTATGGTCCCAAAATGACCAGGCTCGCTTTTCTAGCATTGGTTGATGGTGTCCAATTCAAAGTTCCTTGGCTATTATTGCTTTCCTATTTCGTATCACAATTCTCTATAAAATGGTCTTGGTGCCACTTTCACTCTTATTTTACCAATTACAGCACTAGTTGTTGACACATCCACAATCTGTGAAGTGTCGATTACAGAAGCGACAGCCAGCCGGGCCTCTAACTGTCATCACCTTTTCGAAGATTGTTAGATCCTTGTTAGAAGACATAACATCTGGAACTGAAGAACACCGGAGATTGTTAATCATTAAATACACAATTCTAAGCACTTGGAAATTATATTAAAGTTCGTGATCAAGCTCGTGTTTTTAAGAGGGAAAAATTTCCATGCTCGTACTGAAACTAGCAGATGTTTTAATTTTTCTCGAAAATATAAATATATAGTTTGTGAGTCTACTTTCTTCTAGTTCAGGACTTGCTGTATATAAACCATTGTATATTTACTTACAAATATAAAATGAATTTCTTCTTCAGAACTCAAAATGTACCATAGATCATCTCTTTTTATTGCACAAAAATAAATAACACAACTATAAAGATCATAGGTAATTCACGGTTCAGAATATACCATTAATCGTCTGTTGCCATAGATAAAATACCATAGTTTTTTGTGGGATTAGAATGCAATGTGAACATATTTCTGTAGTTATTCTGAAGTATAGTCGTGATCGAAAATATTGAACATAGTTTTTTTCAGGCTTCAAAACATGCCTTAGATAATCTTTCATGATCAAAATACAGTTACTTCTTCAGGGTTCAGGTAATAACACACGTGTTTAAAAAATTTAAAATGACACTAAGTTATTTTGGACTCAAAACATACAGTAGTAGTACTAACTTCCGATCAGAGCAAGCTATGTAGTTAGAAAAAATTTAATAATCAGTACCATATGTTGTTGTTTGGTGTTTTGTTTTTACTGTGACTTCAATTTAAAAATAAGCTTCTGGATAAATTGACAGTTATTCTTAAAAGTTATAAAACTATAAAATAACAGTTTTTCAGTAGTATTTCGAATCTAAATATAGCGGTTGTTATTATCGGAAATATTAAACAACATATCTTGTAACTTGTATTTCTTTCAGAACGAATGTTAAATAGACAATGTGTTTTATTATGTAGATGTGAAAATAAATATAAATTAAATATTTTTTATTTAACTTCAGGACGTACTGTAAAAGAGTGTTATTACGATATCGTAGAACGTGAACATAAACATTTATGAACGAAATAGTTTATTAATGATTTAAAAACGTTTTATAATACAAATATATAATAACCCAGCTCCTTAAAATTTCGCGCAAAGCTACACGAGGCCTAT